TCTTTTCCATCATCCAAATTCCAACCACTCAGGGGACCTTCACCAAATCGGTCAGAATTAACATTCAGCTTCTTGTTCTAGTCCATCGACAGACATTTATAAAGCACTCCCTTTGTGTCATGGGGGCCTAGAATTGACCTTCATGTCCCCCTTTCCTGGCTCTAGGCCTACATCTGAGGCCTCTCTGGTACCCAGGGTGCATTCATTCCATCCAGTCTACCTCTCTCTGCACATGTTCTGCACTGGGACAACACCAGGCCCTGGTCACACAAGCTCACAGGTGCTGGGTACCCTGTCATCTGCCCACTTTGTTTAATCCCACCTCTCTATTCTGTGTCAAGCACTCTGCCGGGCCCTCCCATGAGCCTTCAGAGTTGGGAAGATCAGAGTTTATACATGTAAGACCCTAAGGGAACAATCAGAGAGCTTTCCATGGAGAACCAGCTGCACAATACAGACGGAGGGGTTAGCATGGGCTGGAGCAGTGGAGAGGAACTGCAGGTTGGTCGGGGCTGGGCCAGCCTTAAAGATCGACAGTAATAATGGTAAAGATTGTGAAGCTCAGACGTACTGATGCTAACACTTTTCTAAGCAATGTATAGGCACCATCTCATTTAATCTTCACAATTACTCCATGTCATGGGCATTATCCTCATTCCTATTTTACAGATGAAGGGACTGAGGCACAGAGAATTAACTAATCTGCTTAAGGTTGCACAGATGGAAAGTGGCAGAGTTGGGATTTTGAACCCAGGCAGTCTGGCTCAGGGCTGACACTCTTGGACACTACCAAGAGAGTTCGGGTGTGCTCTCTATAGTTGTGTAAGAAATGTCCCCAATTCAGCAGCCTAACACAACACATGTGTACGAGGCAGAGACCTGAGTGGCAAGTTGGTCCCTCTGGCTCTAGGTTCTTCCCACTGCTATCCAGGTGACAGCCTGTAATCCTCTCAGACTGACGGGGGAGGATTTGGTTCTGAGCTCACTCTCGTAGCCATTGGCCAGAGACCACAGTTCCTTAGGTGTGGGCCTGTCCAGGGCAGCCCATGACGCTGTGGCAGCAAGCTTCCTTCCGAGGAGCAAGTGGGCAGGGCACGTCAGTGAGACAGAGCTGCCTCAGTGTGCAGCCTGGTCACAGAAGGGGCCCTCGTCACTCCTGCCATAGCCTGTGGTCTGTACGTGAAAGTAAATCTCTGGGTCCAGCCCCCACTCACAGGGAGGGCACTTCAGGGGGTATGGATGGCAGAATGGTCACCAGGGCCAGTGCAGGAGACATGAGCCCACAGACACCATGGCCTGTAGTTCAATTCCGCCCCAGGAGCCCTGAATGTGTTTGCTTCAGCAATAAGAATAGCCTCACAGGGAGCTCAAACTTGATTCCCAGCCTGAGAGGACTCTTCCTCCTGTTCCTCCCAGAGACCAAGTGCCAAATCAGACGTACCTTCTTCAAGAGCATCTGCACGCTCCGCTATGTAAAGAAACACAAGCGTATTTGTATTTCACTGGCGTCAGGCGGAAAACTTGGCACTGTCCCTCCCTCCTCCTCGCCATACGACTCCAATCAGCCCCCGGCTCCTCTAACGCGTTTATTTTTCGTCTCTCCTTCCTCCCCCACTGCCCATAGTGAGGGAACGCCTCAGGTTCCGGGCTTTCACTACCAGAGCAGGTTCTGAGCACCCAGCCATGCGGACAGGGCCAGGCCCCCACCACAGTACATCCCCCACCTGGAGGCCCAGCCCGCTCCCCACACGACCCCACTGCCTGCATCCTGCTATCACCCATCCTTCACCCTCCTTCACCATCCTGCCATCACCCAGGCCCGGCTCCCCTGGGGAACGGTTCTCTGTGTCCTTCCCTCTGAACCCCTGCTTCTGGGCAGCTTCATGCCCAAAGAGCCTGCCTCTTCCCTCCTGCAAATCTTCCACTCCCCGAACCCTTCTCACCTGTCCCATCACGACCAGGCCACACTGTCGGGAGGACAGACTCTTTCTAAACTCCCATACTTGCTGTCCTCATGACTCCTGGAGACAGTTTTTGACCTTTCTATCCACTTCCCAGATTGGGGCACTTTCATGGCAGAGATGTGTCCAATTTATATCTGAATCCACAAGAGGCTGGGATACGGGGTGCACACAGAGGGTGCCAAAAATACATATACTCTTTAAGGAAGGAAAAAGCTGTATTAAAATTGTAATATTCAAGTCATGTTCAACTTCTGCAATTACAAGAGAAACTAGCTACAATATGAAGGTAACAAATGCTTTCAGTGTATCTTGAGTATTACAATTTTAATACAGTTTTTCCTTTCTGAAAATGTGTATACATTTTTCTGGCATCTTCCGTATATAATGTCAGGAGAGATGAAGGACATGAAAACTATCTACTGATATGATTCCAAAGAAGTTGCATTCTCCTTATTTCCTTAGAACACAGAAAGACAAGTATCTTCCACTTACACTCTAAGAACACAAACTCAGCATTACGTGCAGGGAGGCTGCAGAGAATGAGAGCTTTGTAGGAAGCAGCTGAAGCACCCGTGGAAAGTGCAGCTCAGTCCCCGCTTCTCACACCAGAGGTGAGACAGGGAGGTACCAAAAGCAGGTGCACATGCAGCGGCCAGACGCTCAGCAGCAGCACACAGAGCCTCCTGACATCAGCGTGGACCCCGGGGGTTCCTGGTAACCTCCCCGTTTCTCAGTCCCGGCTAGATGACACCCATATTACTCACTGCAGCTGCTGTTGTACTTTCTATTCCGCTGTTCTCTTTTCACACTTTGTTCAGAAATAAACACTGGTGCCCACATTACATTTTGCTTTTAAATAGCATGCCAAAGAGGAGACATGCCCAGTGGTCTCCGAGTCACACTCCACGGGCTCTAGGTCATTTGCCTAAGAGGCAGAAGCTCACAGGTAGCGGCGTGGTTGGGGGAGGGGGTGGGTGCCCTTGCACCTGAAGCTGTCCTCACTGACCAGCGCCTCTAAGGACATCTCTTAGCTATCTGAACGAAGGCTGGCTTCTCTGAAAAGCCGCTTCTCAGACTTTTTGGTTTGAGGACCACTTTACACTCTGAAAAGTTACTAAGCACCCTAAGGAGCTTTTGTCCTCGTGGGTTGTATTTTCTGATATTTACTGCATTTGAAATTAAAACTGAGAAAATTTTTAAATATGTATCAACTGGCATCAAAAATAACAATTCTAAATACATTACACATTTGCATAAATTTCACAGTTTAAGAAAGATAACTCCATTTTTCCAAAAACAAAAATAGCAGTAAGAAGAATGGCCACAGCCCGCACTTGTCCAAAGCTCCGAATGTCCAATCTAACAGAAAACAGCTGGACTTTAGTGGAGGTATGTGAGAAGAACTGAGCCTCAAACAGGCAGTTGGAAGAAAGAGCACAATTTTGTAATTGGCGTTTCAGATAATTGTGGCCGTTCTTCTTTAATACTATATTAAAATTCCAAAAGTGGTAGTTTCCTAAAGGTTAGCTGCAGGGTTGAATCTAAAACCAGCCATGTCAATTCAGTTTTTTCATACATGGTCATACATTAAAATCCAGTTGCTATCCTGCACTTTAAATAGATCTTTTATTTTTTACCCATTCATGATTTTGCAAGAAATGCATTGGTCATTTGGCAAATATTGATTCATTAAGTTATGTACATCTATCTATCAAATCTTGGCATATTTCATCATATGACCATAACGTTAATATGTCCACTAATCTCATCAGGAAATCTGTAGGTGTTAGGAAGCTATCAAGCTCACAGTGGTGCATACAAGTTTTCTAAATTTCTGATTTTTACCTGAAAACTTTAATTTTATGTAACAGATACGGTCAGTTATATTTCCTTAAGTGACAGGCTTGCTTTGTTTATTTTCAAGAAAACGTCTGCCTAATACCTGGGTCTGGACAACCTAGTTGAGGTTAGGGAAGTCCCTCTAAAATCGAAAAGGCCACCTCTTATGGAAAGTTCCAAAAACCTTAAATGTCAGTGAAAGTCAAAAAAGAAGTCTCCGGAGAGAGAAACCCTGCAGATATCTCCCAGGAGCCTGGAGGAGGACGACTCTTCTGAAGCAGTGTTGGAGAGCCATGTGGAAGCTGAGTCCACTCCAGGGCTGACCTGTAAGCCCCTGCCCCAGCATCTGTCATGGAAATTATGACAGTGGTCAGCACACTCTCTGGCAGTTGGTGCAAGGCATTGGTGAGAAGGTCAGCATACTTATAGTGTAGAATACTGGCCAGGACCTGTGGGATGGCTGCATGGGACAGCTCTCAGGTGTAAACAGACCACACCGCAGCCCCCATCACAAAAACAAAAAAAGCCAAGACGCAGAAACGTAGCCCCTTGGCCATGACCAGTGAGGTCTGACCACATGAAAGAGCTTAATTCATACCTCCGAGGCAGCTCCACTCAGGCCAAGAGAAGCCAGGCCTTTTACTGTGTCTCCAGACATTTTTGTCTTTGTGTCCAACGAATCAATTGTGATTTTAGAAGAAATGTTAAACAATCTTTCATGAAACCAGAAATCAGTGAAACTAGCTTGGCCACTTAATTCTTCATTTAATGGCATTCTGAAAAGGCGGGAGGATGTCTCTTACATCCACGTGTGACCTTTCTGTTTTAGCTGTAGCAGGACAGTGAGGTAGTGAAGACCCTGGGCCGGTTGCTGGAGTTTGAATCCGGCTCTCTTCCCTATCAGCTGTGTAACTAGGACAAGGTCCTAGCTCTGTGCCTGGTTTTCCTCAGCTGTGGAACAGAACACAACATGTACCTACCTCCTGCTGTGGGGACCAAATCATGTCTTAACAGTGGAGCTCTCCTTCAATGCACTTATTCCGCCATAGACTCACCATTTCCAAAATGCTTACGCACAGGGGCTGTCCACAGGGTCTTGTGTGGCCATCAGGAAGCCTCTCTCCATGGCTGGCCGGCTCCCACCCAGGGGGCTCCTCTTGGTTCTCTCTCCCTGTCACTCACTGAGGAATGACAAGCGTGAGCAGAGAGTAGGCTCTGATCCCTGGACCCTTCCATCTGGGAGACCTGTGGGGCTGGAGAAGATGGGGCTTGGGGATGCCTGGTGCTGGCTTTTCCCCCGTAGCTGCCCTGAATGATCCACAGTCTTTACTGTCCCCTGTGGGCAGTGTGCCAGGAGGAGTGCTTGAGATAATGCCTGGCTCTGATGGCTGCATTGGGGGAGGCCATGTGACAGCCCACAGTGCAGTCAGCAGGGTCCGCACAGAAACAGCAAAGGCCACTCTCACTGCTCAGGTGGTACCCCAGCCTCCTTGGGAAGAATCTGTAAGGGACTCTGCCCCAGTGGAGAGACACTGAGGGGCCAGGTCTGGAAACAGGCTGCAAGGCAGTGAGCGAGTGTGGGCCATTTGAACATTAGCCACTCCCATAGGCCTTTGCAAAGAGTGATAAAGTCATCAGTGGTGACTCCCACGGGGCGGGGGCGGGGGTGGTACCTGCAAAACAGGTAATAATACCCATGGCCAAACCACAAACCTCACATGAAGGGGGTCCGAGCAGACGGGCACAGCTAAAAGTATTAACCTCCTTTACAGACAAATTAACTAAGGGGTTTTGTCATAAGTCACCAAATGGCAGATGTACGTACTTCACATTCCAAAGACCTCCCTCTTCCCTTTGCACAGAGCTGCTGATGAGATCAAGGAGCCTGAGTGCAGTGGGACATTCCAGAGAAGCTCATTAGTAAAGCCACGTCTGCTCTGTGGTTCACTATCAGTATCACACACACAGATAACCAAAGCCCTTGTCAGCCACCACAGTGACAGTTATTTGTGAGCAAAATATAGCAAACAAAGGCTGTCCTGCTAAGAATCCAGCCAACCATGACAGGCAGGGCACCAACCAGATCAGGAGATCTGGGGGCCAGGGCCAGGGCCAGCCCCGCCTCGGCCTTGCTAGGGACTATGGCCAAACCACTCAATGTCTTTGTCTTTGCACGGATGTCTTGCCCTATAAAATGGGGAGGGTGGGGTAGATGAAAGCAACAGCTTCTGAAATCCTCTTCTAAGTAGTGTAGATGTAATTACGAGACAACAGCAAGTGACAGCCTTCATGTTCACCCTAAAAACTCCATAAACTCCCAATGGACACACACAAAAAACCTGTTTACAGATAATGTGATTTTTATAACCAAAATTTCATTTTAAACATTTTTTAAATATTGTCATAACTAAGATGACAGATCTGTAGGATGGCAGGGGATGTTGGTACAGTGATGAAAAATAGACCAGCAGATATATTACAGCCTAGAAACAGATCTTTTGTAAATAGACATTTAATATATGGTAAGGGAAGTTGAAGCAGTTTTAAAAGATGGCCACAAATTCTTTGAGACTTCTGCCATCGAGTAGTGGGGTCTATGTCCTCTCCCCTTTAATTTAGGTGGGCACAAGACTATGTACCAATTGAAGTGATGCAAGTGCCTTCCAAGGGGGGAGTCACAGAAAGCCACACAGCTTCCTCCTTGTTCTATTGCAACACTCACTCTTGGTGTCCTGGCTTCCCATGAAAAACTCAGACTACCCTGAGGCCTCCATACTGTGAGGAAGCCCAAGCCATGTAGAGGCCAAGTGCATGTGCTCTTGGGGCTGTTCCCAGCTGAGTCCAACTTTTGCGTCATCCCAGCCCAGGTGCCCAAGCACATTAGGGGGGAAGACCCTGGGTGATTTCAGCCTCCCAGTCTTCACACTACCCAGAGACTCACGTCTTCCCAGCTGAAGCCCCAGACATGGTGAACCAAAACCAAGCCATCCCCATCCCACCCAAATGCCAATCCGCAGAATTCACAGCATAATAAATTGATGACTGTTCCATGCCACTAAGTCTGGATTCATCTGTCATACAATGGGTAACCAGAACAGAAGACATTTTCAATCACTGAAGAAATAACGACCCCTTCAACAAATGATATAAAGACTTAGGAATCATTTTTTTAAATAATTTCATGCCATCAAAAAGTTTTAATGGATTCATATGGTAAATACTTTAGTCATAAAAGTATTAAAATATAGAAAAAGCATTTTTAAAGTCTAGAGATAGGAAAACATTTCAGAAGTCTTACCCACTCATCTCCGCCCCTCACAAAACCCAGATAACATGGAAGAAAAAATTGACAAGTTTTATCAAATACCTGTAGGTAAAATTCTTATGACCGAAGAATCCATAAACAAAGTTAAAAGCTAACTGGCAGATGGGCAAGAAGTCTTGGCCGCATATATACCAACCAAAGTATTAATATATAGAAAAAAATGAGGAACACACCCATATTCCCAAATGAGGAACACACCCAAGGGTGGACAATTCAAAAAAAATCAGGGCATGAATATGAGCAGATGATTCACAGAGGAGAAATATAAATGGAAAGCAAACATATAAAAATGATGTCAAACCTCAGTAGCAATCATACACATACATTTTAAAACAATATCAAAAAACACAATAATATAATTTTTCACCCATCACACTGCTAAAAAGTGATATTGATATGCGTATGTAGAAAGATGGGCTGTTATGTCATCGATTGGAATGTAAATCAAGGTAATTATTTTGAAGGACATGTTGTTGAATCTATCAAAAGTTTACATTTCACACCTCTATCTAGTAAGTCATTTCTATTTGTCTATCCCATGTAAATATTCCCATATACCCCTAGGTGCCAAAGAAGAGTACTGTAGAAAAATATAAGACAATGGCAGTCACCACAATATTTGTGGAAGCGACCAATTAAAATTTAAACACAAATACTTATCATTAGTGTTTGGCCAAAATGAACCCTGGGCAGACATACTATGGATGACTGTGCATCATTTTAAAATAATGCAGTGGGCTCGGCACCTATAGCTCAACCGGCTAAGGCGTCAGCCACGTACACCTAAGGTGGCGGGTTCGAATCCCCAGCCCAGACCCGCCAAACAACAATGACAGCTGCAACCAAAAAATAGCCGGGCGTTGTGGCAGGCGCCTGTGGTCCCAGCTACTTGGGAGGCAGAGGCAGGAGACTCACTTGAGCCCAGGAGTTGGAGGTTGCTGTGAGCTGTAATGCCACAGCACTCTGCCCAGGGGGACAGCTTAAGGCTCTGTCTCAAAAAAAAAAATAATGCAGTGAATATCAACATACATATTAAGAAGTTGAAAAAGATGCCCAGAAGAGACACCTTACACTGTTTATAGTGATTATTTAAGGGAAAAAGCAGGTTGGGCAACCATAAAATTTTTTCCCTGTTCAGTCTATGTTCTTCTGCAGAGTTTCCTTTATATGTATGAGAGAATATTCATGAATTATTTGTGTAACTATCATTAATGTGGGGCTTTTAAGTTTAGGCACAATAACCTATAAGTTCCCTTCCCAAGAGTCTGTGGTCCATAATCAGTGGTCCTTCGAAGCCCAAACTCACTTCACTTATGTCAGTCGAACCCTTGCCAGAGGCAACTTTTCTCTGTATTTCATGAAGCTTAAGCTCAAGGCTCCTCACTTACCTAGGTTATTTGTAAATACAAGGTGGATATAAAGTTCATGTGCAAGTTAAAATAATTTAACATAGTAAATTGCACACAAACTTTATGTCCACCCTATATATATTCATTTTAATACCAAATTCTATAGTTGAAATTTTATATTTTAATGTTAAAAATGAACCTAAAAAACATATAAGCTCTAGACCCCACAACCTGCATCTGCTCCCCAAATTGTGTGTACTAGTGTAATAGCCCCACTACAGCAGCAGGACAGCAAAATCTCCAGCTAAGGCCTTTCATGGTGCCTCTCTATAGACCAAGAGGCATAAAAGATGCAAAGGAAAAAAAGAGAAAACCAAAGACCACCTCACCCCAAAGAAAGAACTACTAGTAGGCAGACATAAAACTCAGTGAAACCCCCTAAGAGTAATTTTTTTTTTTTTTTGCAGTTTTTGGCTGGGGCCGGGTTTGAACCCACTACCTCCGGTATATGGCACTAGCGCCCTACTCCTTTGAACCACAGGCACCACTCTCAAAGAGTTGTTTTTCATAGCATGCTAAGAAGCTTAAACAATTTTATAGAAAACATCATTTATGGGGGGCAGGGGTATAAGACCATGCATGCGAAATACAGAGAAAGTAAAGGTAAGTACTCTGACCTCTCTGAAGTTAGTAGCAAAAATAAGAAAAAATAGAGAACTGGAAGGAAATCAGATCTGTCTGAGGAATGGATTCTGATTCTCTTTTAAGTCCTAATGGCAGGTCCACCTCACTGTAGAGATAAGAAATAACTACAGACATCAGAGCCTGATGTCATTAGACATTCAAATCCAACGATCCATTCCCTGCCTCTGACTCCACACTCACTGGGCAACAGAAGATGCTTGCCAAGTAGAAGTTCCCACACGGAATGGGGTAACTGGAGGACTCAACTCTCTAGAGCAGCGGTTCTCAACCTGTGGGTCATGACCCCTTTTTAACAATAAAAATACATTGCGTTATTAGGAAGGTTGAGAACCACTTCTAGAACCTTTGACAGATGGATTTCTTATTGTAAACAGGAGTAACTACAGCAAGATATCAGAATAGGCGGCCTCAGCCCTTACACTTCCTTGGCCTTCAGGGCACTTCCCAGGAAGTGCCTCACCCAAAACTTTGAGGAAATTGGCATGGCTTAATCACCTGGGGCCAGCTAAGGGTAAAGAAAAGGGGCTGGTGCTCACAGCAAGTGACATGCAGATTTCCAATAACCAGCCCATGGAATCCATAAGTGGCCCACCAGCTGTCCTACCTGTAGACCCCATAAGCCAATTGGCCCACCCATGGATCCCAGAAGTGGCTCATGGCCACTGTCACACTAGTTCCCACAGATGACATCCCATATCCCCCTACAGACAGCACAGATCACACCAGCTACAGTGGTTCTCAGCAGCCAACTCAATGCTGCGGATTGGAGGAGCATCAGCAGCAGATTAAACCAAGTAGAAAGAATCAGTTAACTAGAAAGCAGGTCATTTCAAATTATCTAGTCAGAGGAGACTCTGTATACTGTGTCTCAGTC